CCGTGTTATTGAATATTTTCCTCTCGTGGTGAATAATTTCAATCTCTCTCTTATCTCCTTTCGGTTTTCCAATGTTCGTGAACCTTCCTACCTTTCCGTTGCGGCTTTTAAATTTATTTGTGGTTATTCTTTATAAGGTAATGAAATTCTTGCATATATTTTTTAAAGTTGGGATGTACGAGACCCATTCAGGTAATAAGGCTTTATTAGGTCTGTGCTTGAGTCCTAAAGTTACTTTTATATGCGTGTTGTGATCCTAACTAATAAGCCAGAGGTCGTGGGTTCGATTCCCAGTCAGGATAAGTAATTGTGTGATCAGCAGTATCATTTGTTCTGTCTGGGTGGAATTTATCTACAATACGTATGTATTTAGAAATATTTAAGTATGTTTATCAGTAGTCTGGTTACCATAGTAAAGGCTCTGCTTAGTTTGGGATCAGATGGCTGTGTGTAAGATGTGAAGTTATTTTTATAAAGAAATATCTATCGTGGGAGTATTAAGCAAAAAATACAAAAAAGTCGAATTAGGAAAGTCGCTTCAAATATAATACCGAATTTTTTTTTTATGGAATGCAGTGGCAAACAATCAGACAGGTCACCTGATGGTTAAATAGCTACCGCCACCCATGGATTTTCAAGAGACACATTTGTTCACACACACAAATTTATCATTAAATTAAAAAAAATGATCAATTTCATTTTAAGATTAATTTAATAAAAGATTAATTTAACGATGGATTAATGATACGACTGAACAATTTATCGGAACCAATGCAGCTAATTAACCAAATAGTTACAATAAAATTAAACAAAAAACTTATAAAAGCACTAGATAGTCTTCGTTGACAACTACTCGCCGGCAGATGGCGCTTTAATATTTCCTCATCTAGTTTTTTATAAAATTCATCGTGTATTTATGTGTTATTTATTTTATATTACTGTTTGTACTGATATATCTAAACAAAATTTGGCACCTTAACATCTCTAAGCATAAACTTGTGTTTACTCGGCACAGAAATGAAGTGTGAAATAAAAATATTTCATGCATAGTTATTATATTCGACTTATATGTATCCAGACTTAACGTATCGTAGTAGGTAAAGTAATTCAACCTACTCCTTAATTATTCCTAATAGAGTTTAAGAGAGAGAGAGGAAGAAACGGTAACATAGTAATCAAAATAGTTTAGTCCTCTTGACATTCTAAAATTGGTTCAAAAAGTATGTTACATTCGAAATAAATTGTTAACATTTTTAAATTATATTTAACTAATTCCAAATTTAAAATAGTAACTTTTTTATCATGTGACTTTTGTGTGTGAATGCATAAAACACTGCCAGTTAAAACTAAACCTATTTAAAAATGGGTAATAAAATAATTGCGTCTGCAGCATTTTTGTCTTAAGAGAAAAACCAACAAGGAATGCATCGTGGCAATTATTTATATTAAAATAAATGCATGAAAGCAGTTACGTCAGACATTTTCTTAAAACATCAGTGCATTACAATGTATGATCATTAAATACAATTCAAAATTAAAGGCGGGAATGCATTGGTCGCGAATTAATTACTTACTTCATAAAATAAGATCTTTCTTTTAGACGACATTTACTTATGGCGGGGAAATTTTACTGCAATATGGTCACAGTTTCGTTGATTATTTTTTATTTTGTGTTTCTAACTTTAATAATGATGAACTTCCATATACTGTTCATCCCTTATTTTACCCCCTTAGGGGTTACATTTTCGTAGTGGGTGTTTAAACCGTAAAAAGCGGTTTAGAGTCTGCGTTGATGAATCAATCTGTTAGTCAAGGCATATAATTTTATGTATTTTAAATTTATCAACGGACATAAAAAGACTAGATAAGAAATGTATGTATCTAGGTGCTTCTTTTAACATTGATAGGTCGCTGCATATATTTTTACTTTTTATTTGATTCTTTGGATGACATAGTGCTTAACATAGGGTGAGAATGCACATCTTTGATTTTATTTTTGACGACCGAATGGCGTAGTGGTTTGTGTAACGGACTGCTATTCCAAAGGTCGCGGGTTCGATTCCCGCTCAAGTCAAACATTTGTGTGCATGAACATTTAATGTTTGATTTGGTCTGGGTGTTTCTATGTATAATAAGTATGTATTTACAAAAAAAAAAGTATATATATTATGTATTTATATCAGTTGTCTAGTACCCATAGTACAAGCTCTGCTTAGTTTGGGACTAGATGGCGTTGTGTGAATGTGGTACAATATTATTATTTTTTATTATTATTTATGGTATGATAGAGCGAACAAGCAGATGGATTTTATTGATGGTATGTGGCTACCATCGCTCGGGGACACAGAATCACAAGTGCATTCCCGCCCTTTGGTTAACATAATGTCCTCGGACGTACTAAAGTCGGTTGTAAGTACTGAAATAAAAATAAAACAACAATTGACTCTACTTAAGTGATTCTATTTCTTAAAGGCACAAATGTTTTAGGTAGGTAGGTACCTACGTACTATAGAAATCATTTTTAAAGACAACACACAAATATCGACATGGCAATTATATATTTGACATTATGTAAATTGTTTATTGACATGAGCTTAGTAGTTTGTTATTAAACCAATCTTTTGTTGTAATATGCATGTACGTTTCAAATTTTGCATGTCAGAACAGACTGACGAAATATGTGATTCTCTTCTAATAACTATAAACAGCCCATGTACCATATTTCTGCAATTAAATTATCATTTCATTTCATTTCATCGTTCCATGTGGGATTCCAACCACAACACTCAGTGTAGTAGTCAGCGGCGTGGTGACCGCTTAAACCACTACGCCATCCGTGCAGTTACAACGTTTCATGAACGTTTGTTATCCTGATAACTTGTGAAATTCAACATCCAACCTTATTCTTCTCATCACCAGATGTAAATTAGTTTTAGCATAAGTATCTAAGAATATATTTTTTCCTCATCATCCTTCCAACGGTCGCCTACAGCAGATCGCATATTTCGATAGTCGCCAATCAACTTGACAGCTAAATTATAATTGACTAGGTAAGTTTAATACGCCTCTGAACATCTTCTTAGATTTAAAAGGGACCAAGTTAGAGTGGAAACAAATCAATTAAAAAAACATTATTGTAATCTTTTTACAAATAACAGAGATATTATCTAACAACAGAAGAGAAAACAAACAATAAATGAAAAATAATAATTTGTGAAGTCTGCGTCGTTTGCTGTCGTTGAAAAGTTTACGTAAAAATATTCAAACACTTTAAATAAAAACGAATCAATTACCTTTATGAGGTTTATAAAATATTATTCTTCAAACGGACTTTTTTAAAACTTTATTTTCATAAGCAAATCAGTAGATAGGTACTTAGGAATCGAATAATAACATACAATTCTCAGTTTCATGGTTAAAGCCTCATACATACGTAACGATTTATCGTAGCGATAAATCTGTGCAGACCAGTTTGCGCAGTTTTATCGATCGTGTGTATGAAAAATCGTTGTCGATAATCGTTCGTCGGTGGCAGTTTCAATTTCTATCAGATAAATCGTTGTCGATTATATTTGCACAGTTTTATCGTTGCGTGTGGACGGCGCTCAGTTCGGCAGTACTTCACGGAGCTTGCTAGTGTGCGCACGTGCAGATCACTAATGCGAGCAGATTTAAATATGCCTCTTCATTCATCCTTAAATAGTTATGCCAATCTTGCGGAGCGAATTTCAACTCGCATAACAAGTTGGTATGAGAAAATTGCTTCCTTTTCATGAGCCAGTCTTTACACCATAGACTCCGCTTCTTTTTTTTCTTTAAACACATAACCAGGCCTAATATAGCAAGTGCGTCATAATCTTCCATTGTTAACATGTATCTTGCGCGAGCTTCTGCTGAGAACTGCCCGATCGACGTCGATATCGGAGGCGTGTGGAGGCACTAGGAACGTTCGATTTATCTGCACAGTCTGAAATCGCTACGATAAATCGTTACGTATGTATGAGGCTTAAGTCGGCCCGCGTCGGCCGCACCATTGGTTTCGTAAGTTTTATCGTTGTTCAATAACGTAAGTTTAACATTGTAACAAAGGTGACATCTTTTTTACTTCTCAATATTAGAATTTAAAATTAAAATTTCATTTAAAAACAATAGATAGGTACATCAAAAGTGTTTATCGTAGGTTTATACATCAAGTTTTAAGTTTTATTCATAAAGTTTGAGCTAGTTGTTGGTTCGCACTCAAGAATAAGACATTCTGTGGTCTATTGGAACAGCTGTACCTACCCCTTAAACATTCAAAGATAGTACGGCGTTGAAATCCTAAAAAGCTGTGACTGGTTTTAACCTGATCGCATGCTGTAAGTAAGCTAACAATTCAGTTGCTTGAGAATTGATCCTTTATGATAGAAGATACTTTGCTAATTCTGAAACAATCCAGTTGAAACAAAACGAAACGAAAAGATTGTTGTAGTTCCATCAAAACGTAATAACACCGTAAACGTTACTGAACTTATGACCCTGGAGAGTGACGGATGCGAATTAAAACAGCGAGTCATAAATGTCGAGAATGTGGAATGGATGTGTAGCACAGAAATCGTGCCTAGATTTAAATAGAATTTATAAATTTATTAATCATAGTCAACGAAAGGCTGACGAGGAAGAAATATAACGCAGAATATAAAATGTTAACTAAGATACTGTTCTTCAAAGAATTAACAATTAAGTACAGCCGCTTACTTAAAATGGTTTATACATCCAAGAACTTAGGGGAAGGATTGTTGCGATGTTGACGCGACTCCAAGATTCTTAAGACAGTGCGCTCGGCGGGAGTGAACAAACTTAAATTAGTTGTAGATTCAGTTGCAACAGAGGTCGAGAACAGAGCAACAAAACTATAGCAGGCTTGTTGCTCGTCGAGGACGAGCGACGCGGTGTCGCGCGGGGCCATCTCGAGCGGCGGGCGCACAAAAGATACGCCGAGCGCGTAACGAGTTCAATTGATGAACGAACGGAAACGTGTCCAATTAGAAGGAGGCGGCGGGCGCGGGCGCGAGTGGCCCCCGCGCGCCGCATTAACCAGATTAGCGGAGCGGAGCGCGCGCGAGGTGTGGCGGCGGCGGACACCTCGCCCGCGACCAAAAAACAACGCGGCGCCTCGCCGGGGCGGAGCCGGGCCGAGCGGGGCGCGCGCGCGCCCCTCGCACCGCCATTGGGCGGCGCGCGGCGGGAGGGGTGTCGCGCGCGGCGCCGCCGGCGGCCAGTCGTTTGACGCCTGCCGCGCGAGCGGGTGTCGTCACGGGAACAACGAGTGTCGAGCCGCCGGCCGGCGCTTATGGACGTTGCATGAGCGGGCGCGAGCGCCGCTGGAGCCGACGGTCCCGCCGGCCGTGGAGCGCGCGCCGTGGGCCCCGGGCGGCGCGGGCATGCGCTTCGAGGGCGCGGAGCGGCGCGACGCCGTCGCGTTCCACCCGTTGCTGGTGCCGCGGCCGAGCGACTTCTCGGTGTCGGCGCTGCTGACGGCGGGCGCGCTGCCGCCGCCCCCCTACTTGCCGGCCGCGCTGGCCGCTGCCTTGTCCGCGCCCTGCCCGCTGCTGAAGCCTCCTCCTCCGCCGTATGCGCCCCTGCCGCCTGACGACGACGGCGTCGTCGACGATCCAAAAGTTACGCTCGAGGGCAAGGACCTCTGGGAGAAGTTCCACAAGCTGGGCACCGAGATGGTGATCACCAAGAGTGGCAGGTCAGTACGGAGATGCGCCACCGTCGCTCGCTGCCGACGCCTGTGTCGTGGTGACGTGCCAATGTGTGTTGTGTGTGATATGAACCGCCAGTAACTAGCACGTGTCCGAGGGTAAGTGATGCGACCGCCGAGGCCCCAGCTCCGACGGTGGGGCTCGCTGACTCTACCGGAGCGGCAGTCACATGGGCTTGTTTACCAAAACATTACCTAGTTAGGCCTTTTTGTAGGCGCGCTCGCCGAACGATCTGTCACGACTATGTACTAACGAACTGTAATTAACGAGGCAGGCATTCTGGATTGAAATGGAAAATCTGGAATATCAGAATAATGAGAACGAAATACATTGAAAGTATGCGTCCTTTATTAAAGCGAGTACGAGTCACGCTATTACGTCACATTGCTTAAATAGTTGCCACCAAAGGCAACCAGAATTTTTGACGGGCTTCCTTAATTTTAAGACCTGTTTTTTTGAAATTGTAACTACTTGCCGTGAGTTGAATCACTGCGACGCTAATTACGAAACTAACGAAATAACTTTGGTAAACACAATAAATGTTTTGGAACTATTGTTACCTTTGGAATATTTTACAAATTCTGTCAAGTCTAACGAGGTAGTTCTGTCAAGTTTAATCACGGAGCAGGGGTTGACACGAGATAGGCGTATTTTTTCGCCAAAACTAACACCCGACGGTACGTGTCGTCGCATTAATTAGCCCTTGTAGCTAAAAATCGCTTGTTGTTCTATGTTATGTTAGATTATCCTTTTTAATCCCATAACATTTGCCATGAAAATACATAAAAATCGTATACTTTTACATTACAACTGTTATTCCGTTGAAAGTTTAATAAACAATTGAAATAAAGATGAAAATAATGAAGTTAAAGAAATTAATGCTGTCGTGATAGATTTTATATTGGATAATACATTTTTAAACTAGAAATTTTACAAATAAAATCTTATCTGCACGTGTTTTAATTTACAAAGTGGACGTTTAATGTTTTTTATTCCGATAGCTATTTTGAAAAACAAAACAAGTTTCAATATTCAGCGACGAAGCTATAATTTATTTAAGTTTACGTGACTGTTTATTTTGATTAATACTTTAATAAAATGCATACAACAGCCAATGGACTATGAATATGCAAATAAAATTACATTTATTATTTAAATGGTTGTGTGAACTTCTTATGTCAATATGATGTTTAAATGTCATAACTTTTGATTGACTGTTTATGTGTTGTATTTTTTTGTCATTTCACTTTTTTTTCTTGAACTTTTTGTAAAACGAGATCGTTCTACCGATATAAGTTCAATAACTTATGATAAAAATAGTATTATCCAACATTTAACACAGCACTATCTTGACCTAAACAAGCTCATAGTTAGGGAGGTACTTTAGGTCCTAAAACACACATTAATACACATACCTGGCTGATTTATTTTTAAAATACTTACTTAGTATAAATGTCAAATATTAATACATATTCAGGCATACAAATATTTAAATTAAACTTTATTCGAAGCGATATTACATAACTATATTTTTTATTAAGTCACTTGTAGACCACACAGCTTATAACCGCTACTCTACAAAGAAATACACAGACTTCGTTAATGAACTATACCTAAAGAAAAATCAGTAAGGTACCTAAGTACTTTATTAAACGTCAAAAAATTATAACAACTTTTGACGTCACAGTTTGCTGTCGTCAAATCCTTTTACATTAAATGTTTGCCTTTAATTAAAAGATAATTAACTCTTTATCTTTACATTATTTCAAGTAGGTAGGTGCTACAAATAATTTATTCTGACCCTAGGCAACAATTATGGCGTTTTGACATGTATCCAACGAATTGTAGTGTAGTTCAACTTGAATAGTGCGTGAAGTTTTATGAACTACTACTTATATACATATATTTCGAATCTAACATGTAATAAAACAGGGTGACACGCACATCACTACTGATAAATTTATTTGACATAAACACTGACACGCGAACACAACACTGGTTACGAATAAATAAAAGTTGAATTAAATTTAATAAAACTTTGAAATTTCACATTTAAGTACTAATGTTTAATTGCTATTTTTTCTTTTAGTTAATAACTTACTAGAAACATTAAAGCTTTAACTATACCTAGTCAAATAGGAACAGGAACAAAAAATATTATTATGTAAGATTAAAATATAAAAGCATGTGGCACTGTATTAATTTCAATATTAATTAATAAATATTTTAATGTCCTAGCAGTAAAACAAAAAAAAAATCAAAACTTACAACATTGAACAAAATTTAAAATGAATTATTTACCTTAGTCGTTATATCGTTAACATAAAAAATATCCCTAATAATACATAATCTATCATCATCACCATCAACAGCCTATAATAGTCCACTGCTGGACATAGGCCTCTCCTTAGAAAGAAGGTTAATGTATACCTACAAGATAAAGCTCAAAGAGAGACCTAAAATTATTAAATATTCAACAGCACGTATTGTGTCTTAACTAAACGAGATACAAAGAAATAAACAAAATGTCTGCCGGTCAAGGCACGCGATCATTTCAATTTCAATTTTATTATATTTTAATCGCAGTCGGCCTCAACAAGAATATTATTATACATGACCAATCGAAAAGATTAACCGTAAAAATTTGTTATAATAACGAAACGCGTCAGACGCCATTTCGTTTTGGGTATTATTGATATATCAATTATCTGTTACAATCACATGTTTTAGAAAGCTATCACTTTACTTACTAGCTAACTTACGAACTTGATTATTGAATATAAATTTATACTCTGTCCTATATCCGTACTTATATTACAAATGTTAAAGTTTACTTTGTTTGGTATGTACGCTTTTACGCCTAAACCACCACCAATGTAAAACACCGACCTCTAATAAATTTGGAAAAAGGGTAGGAAGATGATGATGATGATGATGGGTGAAGTCATTTCTTCGCTTCGAAGAACGCCGAGAAAATTTCTCGTAAACCTTACAGGTTTTTTTTAATAACAACTGGATACACCTCACTCACGGCCGTTTGATTCCAAACTATTTAGAGCCTGTACTATAAAAACCAGGTTGCTGATAAACATACTATGTTTTTTATTGAATAGGAATAAAAAACAGCTACAGCTAACATTTTACAAAATAATCTTAACAAATATTGCACATATGTTATATTGTAGCCCACAACCTTATCCACAAATTAACATACTTCTATGTTATTAAATACATCCATAGGGTATATAAACTAAAATCCAGACAAAAAAAATGATCTTGATCATTAGACAATTGTTTGTCTTCAGTAGGAATAAAACCCAAAACCTCTGACTAAGCAATCGGAATCAATAACCACTAAACTAACACGTCTTTCACATATTTAAAACAATATTGTTAAGCTCACGATTTTATAGCTATATTTACAAAAGCAATAAAATTAATATAGGTAATATTATTGAGGACAGCTATTTAATTACTCTTTCAAATTATATTTAAATACTTGTTTTAATTGCCATGTTTAAGGATGATTTTGCAATACCTAATTAAACAGGCAGTGTATAAAAACCTATTATGTCACTTAGAACGCATACGCAATTAATTTCTTACGCCATTAAAATAATTTATAAGATTTTTCTAAAACCACACCTATCTATTTAAAGAACATAAATACATGCAAATATCGCTCATGGTACTTATTTAATGGTACATGGTACTATTAGTCTTGAACGGTCCTTTTCTTGAAGGATAAAAAATGCACTATGTTCTTATTTGTACATCCGACAAGTTGTCAGCAATTTAATGCTGAACGTTTGGAGAATTAACACAAATTTAAATTTTCCTATAATATTAGTTAGGATACACTGTAAAGTTGGTGACTTAAGATAAACTGATTATTGATGTAAGATAAAGAAGATGTATCTTTAAACACAACACTTATATGTTGTTGTACCTATTTTGTCTATGGTCCACACGTTTTTTTTAATGGCACTTGTAACTCTATTGGACTTACTTACCTTGACTTCTTGCCTTTTGGCCTAGTCGAGCTCTGTGCTTATTTACCAATTCAATTGTATGACCCTTAAATAACGATGATATTTACGTTTTTAAAGCTCACATTTTATCACCTTCGACGTTTAAGCAAGAACTGTTGGTCAATAAACTATACCACTTATCTATTTGATAACACGTATGAATATTTTGTGAATAAATAATCAAGTCATAACCATGAATGATTAAAATATTCATATTTAATGAAAAAAGCAAGTTTTCGTGATTTTTTAAAGGAAAAAAGACAATAGCCTAAACTAAAACGACAAGATGAGAAGTGGGAATCGCAAAAAGGAATACGGGAAGAGTTAGGAAAGGGTAACACTTAGAACATCAAAGGACAAAAATACATTTGAGAAAAGTCTCCGAATTTCGGGTGCGCAAAGTGACGAACATTTTTCTTACAGGCGCCTCTCCCCCGAAACCTTTGAAAGCAAAAAATATACTGAAAGAAGTTTCTCTCGGAGGGCCCAATGGGACATTATTCTTGTTTTTTTTTCAATAGGGGTAGAAGTATCTGAAAAATCGGTTTGCTTTTGCTTTAAAAAAACTGACAGCACAATGTCAAAACTGAATTGGAATGAATGAAATTAAACAGGAATTATTATTCCACGGTCCTTTTTAAGTCTGTTTAACCTTATCAACTAATACACAAAAGGTCTGCACTGTTTTACTTTTACATGTCTTTAGTATCAAACAAACTCACTCGATGTGTCTGTTTGTAATTCTGCTAACTCCTTCTAAACCATTCAAAGGGTTTTAAGGCGGGTTCACGCAAATTAACTTTGATTATTTTGCAACCATGTCGCTCAAAAATAAATACACGAACTTGCATGTCCGTGTGGTGACGGATTAAGAATACAGAGTGTCACCATTCCTATTCATCCTGTGGGTGTCGTAAGAGTGGACTACGGGAGCAAACTACGCAGGACAACAGCAC